AGGTTAGTCTTTGCCCTGCAGCACCTCCAGCTCCACACGTGTTAATGCCATCAGGCCGCTCTTCCCAGCGGAAAAAATTCCCTCCAAAGACCAGACTCTGACCAGTTCCTTCCTGCCAGCCCCAGGCAGCAGAGAAAAAGCCCCTTATCCATTCACAACAGCACCACAGGTTTTAGGATGTCATAAATAATGTTGTTTAACAGAAATAATTCATTTTACCAGTGGGTTTGAGGAGGTTTTTTTGCCACTGTAAAAACCATCAGGTGAAATATTCCTTCTGTCTTTTACCAGCAACCAACTGCTTTGGGGGGATTAATTAATTAATTAGAGGTTGAATCTGATTCCAGCTCGGTTCCTGAAACACATTTCAGTTGCCAATTAAAAAAAAATAATCATAAAATCATTGAATCATTAAGGAAAAAAAAAAAAACCTTATTGAGGCAAACCAAAGATGGCCCAAGCTCCAACTCTTGCTTCCAGACAATCCTTGGAGCCAAGTGCCCCCCAGGCCTTGAGCATTTAATTATATTGATCAAAAATTGAAATGAAACCCTCGGTGTGGGAGAGTCCTGTGGAGACTCCATGAAACCCTCAGTGTGGGAGAGACTCCATGAGACTCCATGAACCCCCTGGTGTGGGAGATTCCTGTGGAGAATCCATGAAACCCTTGGTATGGGAGAGTCTTGGAGACTCCATGAAACCCTCAATGTGGGAGAGTCCTGTGGAGACTCCATGAAACCCTTGATGTGGGAGAGTCTCCATGAGATTCCATGAAACCCTTGGTGTGGAAGAGTCCTCTGGATACTCCATGAAACCCTCAGTCTTGTGGAGACTCCATGAAACCCTTGGTGGGAGAGACTCCATGAGAGTCCATGAACCCCTTGGTGTGGGAGAGTCTCCAAGAGACTCCATGAACCCCTGTCTTGTGGAGACTCCATGAACCCCTCAGTGTGGGAGAGTCCTGTGGATACTCCATGAAACCCTCGGTGTGGGAGAGTCTTGGAGACTCCATGAACCCCTCAGTGTGAGAGAGTGTCCATGAGATTCCATGAAACCCTCGGTGTGGGAGAGTCCTGTGGAGACTCCATGAAACCCTGAGTCTTGTGGAGAGTCCATGAAACCCTGAGTCTTGTGGAGACTCCAAGAAACTCTCAGTGTGGGAGAGACTCCATGAGACTTCATGGATCCCTCAGTGTGGGAGAGTCCTGTGGAGACTCCATGAAACCCTCAGTGTGGGAGCGTGTCCATGAACCCCTTGGTGTGGGAGAGTGTCCATGAACCCCTCGGTGTGGGACAGACTCCATGAACCCCTCGGTGTGGGACAGACTCCATGAACCCCTCAGTGTGGGAGAGTCTCCATGAACCCCTCGGTGTGGGAGAGTCTCCATGAACCCCTCAGTGTGGCAGAGTGTCCATGAACCCCTCAGTGTGGGAGAGTGTCCATGAACCCCTCAGTGTGGAGAGTGTCCATGAACCCCTCGGTGTGGGAGAGTCTCCATGAACCCCTCGGTGTGGGAGAGTGTCCATGAACCCCTCGGTGTGGGAGAGTCTCCATGAACCCCTCNATGAACCCCTCGGTGTGGGAGAGTCTCCATGAACCCCTCGGTGTGGGAGAGTGTCCATGAACCCCTCGGTGTGGGAGAGTCTCCATGAACCCCTCAGTGTGGGAGAGTGTCCATGAACCCCTCGGTGTGGGACAAACTCCATGAACCCCTCGGTGTGGGAGAGTGTCCATGAACCCCTTGGTGTGGGAGCGTGTCCATGAACCCCTCGGTGTGGGAGAGTCCATGAACCCCTCGGTGTGGGAGAGTCTCCATGAACCCCTCAGTGTGGCAGAGTGTCCATGAACCCCTCGGTGTGAGAGAGTCTCCATGAACCCCTCGGTGTGGGAGAGTGTCCATGAACCCCTCGGTGTGGGAGCCTCTTGTTGCCCGTAGCAGACCAGCGATGACCTGGAGCATCCCACGACCACCCCTAACCCCACCCTAACCCCTCTTCGAGCCGGATCCGGGCGGGACAGGCGACTCTCCGAAGGCCAACCCCGCCCTGGGTGTGTTCTCTTGCAGACGTGGACGAGTGCGGGGCCATCTCCGGCGCGTGCGACGGCGGCGAGTGCACCAACACCGCGGGCAGCTACGTGTGCACCTGCCCCCGGGGCTTCATGACCAGCCCCGACGGATCCCGCTGCATTGGTGAGACCCTAAACCACGGCCCGGCCCCACGGGTCGTGCTCTGGAACCCACACTCCCCCAGGAGCACCCCCCCAGACCCCTCACGGGGTTTGGGTTCCGGGGCCATCCCGAATTCCCGCCGGTGATGGGGGTGGAACGTGGGCGTGTGGAGGGAATCGAACCTGCAGGGCACTGGGAGGGGCTGGGAGGGGCTGGGAGGGGAGTGGGGAGCAGTGGGGGTAGCCTGGGAGGGACTGGGAATGGACTGGGGAGGATTGGGATGGACTGGGGGGCATTGGAGGGAGTGGGAGGGGATTGGGGAGGATTAGGATGGACTGGGAGTGGATTCCAGAGCACTGATGGTAGACTGGGAGGCACTGGAAGGGACTGGGAATGGACTGGGGAGGATTGGGATGGACTGGGGGGCACTGGGAAGGACTGGGAATGGACTGGGGAGGATTGGGAGGCACTGGGAGTGGATTGCAGAGCACTGATGGTAGACTGAGAGGCACTGGGAGGGGAGTAGGGGGCACTGGGAGGGACTGGGAATGGATTGGGGAAGATTAGGATGGACTGGGAGTGGATTGCAGAGCACTGATGGTAGACTGGGAGGCACTGGGAGGGACTGGGAATGGACTGGAGAGGATTGGGATGGACTGGGAGTAGACTGGGGACACTGGGAGGTGCTGGAAGGGACTGGGTGGACATTGCTGGTTAGAGGGTCCCGGGGGGTTTGGGGTGGATTTGGGAGATCCCTGAGGGAGTTTTGAGGGTCCCTGAGGGGATTTAGGGGCTCCTGGGTCAGGTTTGTAGGTCCCTGAGAGGGACTTGGAGGGTCCAAGGTGGCTTTGTAGGGTCCCTGAGGGGATTTAGGGGCTCCTGGGTCAGTTTTGAGGGGGTTTGGGGGGTCCCAGGTGGGTTTGTAGGGTCCTTGAGGGGATTTGGGGGGGTTTTGTGGGTCCTGGCTGGGGGAGTTGTTTCGAAGGTCCCTCGGGGGGCTTTGGGGGTGTCTCTCTCAGCCAGCCCTGCCTGGCCACGGCCCTCAGCGCTCCCACCACCCCTGGGACACAGCTCAGGCCGTGCTCTGAACCCCAGGCAGCTGGAAAGCCCCTTTTCCATGTGCTGTTCTCCATGTTTTCCTGGCTGAAATGGTCCATCCCGGGCCAGGTCTGGATGTTCTTGCAGACCAGGGCTTTGTCCTTCTCCATAACTCGGACCCTCAGGGGCTTCAGGGCTTGAAGGGGTTGCTGAGGAGGAAGAGGAGTGGGGTGGGAAGGTGGGATTGTGGTCTGTGAGGAAGGATCCTTGTGCTCCTGCCCCGGGATCCTCCCAGCTTGCAGGAGGATCCCAGATATCCCTCCTTTTCCTCCTGCATGGAGCGTTATCCAGGGAGTGACCCCAGTACTCCCAGTACGAACTGTGGGCACGGGGTGTGGTTGGGTGGCCTTCCCAATCCAAGGGAAGGCTTGGGATCCTTCCCAGTGGTGGGAACAACCCCCCAACTGCCCATTCACCCTCTTGCTCTGCAGAGGTGAAAGGGGGAAATTTTCCCTCCAAGTGTTTATGAACCGGTGCAAATAAACAGGGAATTTTCTCACCTCCTCCTCCTCCTCCTCCCTGCCCATAAATCCTAATTTTCCCAAGCTAAGGATCCACAGGGCTCCTTTGGCTCCAGCTCCCTAAATTCAGCCTTTTGGAGGAGGTTGCTTTGCCCTGAGCTGGTTTTTTGGGAGAGGAAGAGGAGCTTCCCCAGCCCAGGAATCCCAGACACCCATCCCTGCCCCGGTGCTGGGGTCACTGGGATGTGCTGGGAGCTCTCCCACAGCATCCAAGCCTGGCACCAGCACAATTCCCAGTTTTCCATGGAAATCTCAGCCTTGTGGTGCCACGAGCAGCTCGGTGGGGTTGGTCTGTGCTGCTCCACCAGCTGATCCCTCTCCCAGTTCGGCTCAAAGTGTCCAAATTTCAAAGCTTCTTCCCCAAACCGGCTCTGAATCCAGGAAAGCTGAGTTTTCCTGCCCCCAGCCCAAAGCCTGGAGCGAATCTTCCACCTTGAACAGCTCGGAATTCCTTTCCAAAGGCTTGTAAATATTTGATGGGCCATCTCTCCTCGTGCCAGACAACAGTTCCTGTGATAAATAGATCAGTTTGGTGTTTGCTTGCTCTCAGCAGGGGCACTTGCTTGAGTCAGAATGAATCCCAGGATGTTTTCACCCAGTTCAGAAAGTTCACTTGCCACCAGAAAGACCAGGACTGGGTGGATTTTGGAAGGAGGGACTGGCACAGAAAAGGCAAAGGTCGTTGTCGCTGCAGTGCAAAATGTCAGGTAGAGCTGGAAATCCTGGGAATTAATAGAGCAGGGGAAAAAAAAATAAAAATCAGCTCCAGATTCTTTTCTATCCACGGAACCTGGAGCAAAATTAGACGTGTTCTAATCCCACAAAGAGAAAGGTTGTTGTCAAGCGTGAGTAAGAAGCAAAGCACGAGTTCCTCTCGGTGGGGAATCCGACGGATTTTTAACGAGGACAAAATTTCTTCTCATCCCTGTTTCCCAGTCCCTGCCGCGAGCCCGGAGGGATGAGCGTGATGGATGAGTCATACGGACTTTTCCTTGAGACCGGAGCTAAATAAAAAATTGGAAAGCCCACGTTTAAAAATAGCCCCCAAAGCTAATTGAGCTGCAGTGGACCGGGAGTGGATCTGAAGTCCCCCCATCATCTCCCCGAGCTCGCAGGCACCACTGGGCTGTCACGTTTTGGGCCAGGGCCGTGTTTTTTTTGGCCAAACTCACAGTTACTCTTGGGTGTCGTTGCCCTGGGATGCAGATTTTTGCAAACTTTGCTGCCATGGTTGTGTTTTTGGTGGTTTTTTGAGGTTTTTTTTTAGAGATTATGGCAGCGATTTACGTCCCGTCGTGTGAAAACAAATCGAAGGAATGGCTGGGAAAACTGGGAATTAATAACTAATTTATTAATTATGGTCACTTATTAATAATTGTGGCCGTTTGTTAATAATGGCCACTTTTCAAGGATGAAGAGCATCAGGAGAGAGACAGGAGAGACTGTCACACTGGTACCTCTGAGATGTTTAGGTTGGAGGTGACCACAGTGTCTCTCTCTATATAAATATACATATATAAATATATATAGTATATAAAAATATATAAAATATAAAAACATATAATATATAAAAATATAAAATATAAATATATATAATATATAAAAATATATAATATATATAATATATAAAATATATAAAATATAAAATATATAATATATAAAGTATATAATATATAAATATATAATATATAAATATATAAAATATAAAACATATAATATATAAAATATATAATGTATATAAATATAAAATATATAAATATATAAAATATAGAAAAATATAGAAAAATATAAAATATATAAAAATATAAAATATATAAATGCATATAAATATATAAAATATATAAAATAAAAATAAAAATATATAAATATCTCTCTCTCTCAAAGGGCATCAGCACTGGCCATGTGGTGCCTTGGCATGTTCCCCTCCCTTTTTAGTGATGCAAACACCTTTTTTTATTGCATTTGAATAATCTCCCGGAGTTTTTACAGCTGGAACAGCAAAACCTGGGGCTTGAGCTGATCCCCAACCTCATTAACTTCTCTCACTGCCCTGCCCAGTAAAACCCCCCCAGCAGCAAGGCTGGAGAAAGCCCGTCATGGTTTCAAATGAGCATTTATTGAACCCTTCAACCACCTGGGCTTGACACAAAGAGTCCAGTCCCACACGTGTTCAGAACAGTTTCATTCATTTCTGCCCGGAAAAGCCGGGCTGGGAGGGGTTTTTGAGGTTTTTTTGAGCAGAAGGATCTGCTCCAGCAGCCCGGGAGGGGTTTTTTTGTTGCTACAACGAGTTTTCTCTTCGAGAACAGCTTCAAAGGCCGATTTTCCAAGGAGGGAAAAACGGCCTTTCAGATGCATTTGCAGAGCTGCCCGTGGTGTTGCAGCCCTTGCAAACCAGAACATTGCTTTTTTAGCTCTTTTTTTTTTTTTTCCCTGGTAGTGCAGCAAAGCTCGGGGAGATTTGGGGTTGTTTTCTCTCTCCTGGGGCAGCACTGGCAGATTTACAGCCTCCAGTTCTGGGGAGGGCCAAGCTTTGCTTTAGCCTTGCAAAGTCCTGGGCTTGGGGAAGGTTTTGAGGGTGTCACTGGGGGCTTCACCTGCCTGGAGAGTTTTGTCCACTTTGGTCGTTTGTCCAGGGGAGAAAAGAGCAAGGGGAGGAAGGAAATATGAGGCTCATGGAATCGTGGAATGGCTGGGGCTGGAAGAGACCTTAAAGCCCATCCAGTCCCACCCCCCTGCCGTGGGCAGGGACATTTCCACTCTCCCAGGTTGCTCCAACCTGGCCTTGGACACTTCCAGGCATGTTTGGCTTTGGTCACTTGAGCTTCTCAATTTCTGTGACCAAACACAAAGGGAGGGAAATCCCCTTAAATTCCTCTTCCTTAATTCCTGGGAAGCGGCACCAGAACTTTCCATCCCTCCCTCTCTCCCTGCCCCTGCCCCAGCTCCATTCCTTAGGATTTAAAGTGCAGGAATCCCCTGCAGGTGCAGGACAGAGCTCAGACACCTTGTGCAGACCACATGGAATGGGAAGAGAGGGTGTGGAATGGGAAGTTAGGGATGAGCCACGCTGGATAACCTTCTATCCTGCTCCTCCTGGCCACCAGGACACACTCCCCGTGGCCCAGCTGGAGTGCAAACCCTGCGAGATCCCAGTGGAAGGTCCCAAAACTCCATCTCCCGCCTCGTAAACCCTCCCCAGCCTTTCTGACCCAGAGACCTCAGCCAGACCTGGGGCTCCATCCCCCACCTCCGGGCACTCTCTAATCCCACTTGGAATTGCCCCTCCCGTCTCCCTGCAGCATTTTCTGCTTTCCTGAGGGGTTTTGTGGAAACCCCTTCCCGAAGCAGTGGAGGAGGAGGAGGAGGAGGAGGAGGAGGAGGAGGAGGGCAGGACAAGCTGTTCTCCCACCTCCAGCGTGTGGGTGGCCCTGGAGGAGATCACAGAGGGACTGCAGGGACACAGCTCTTCCCACCCACCCCTCTCCCTGCCCGAGGCAGCTGCAGATGAGTTTTTAATTAGCTCTGACCTTCATTTCGGAGCGGGATTGTTGCAAACCGCGGCAGAGCAGCTGAGTTTAATAACCGGGGGCCAGACGGAACAAGGGCTGGAGCGTTTCCCCCGTGTCACACCAACTGCTGTGACCCCTCCCCGCCTTGTCACACTTGTCAGCACTTTGTCTGGCCGTGGGGAAGGAGCCTGAGCTCTCCAAGCCTTCCCTGGCTGTCACCCTGCCTGCCAGCCTTGGGGACATCCAGCAGGGACGGGAGGAGCTGGGTGGGGGTCTCTGATGCCCCGAAGGGTTTGTTTATTCCAAACTACCCCCCTCGGGTCTAGGAGTTCGTTTAAGCTCAGCCCTGAGACCTCACAAGGATGACTCCCATCAGGGGGGTCGAGGGGTGGTTTTTCCAAGTGGTCCCAAAATCCTGCCCTGGGTTGGTGGGAGAGGAGCTGCTTTTGGGAGTCAGAGGGGGCTACGGAGAATCATGGAATGGTTTGGGGTGAAAGGGACCTTAAAGCTCAACCAGTCCCACCCCCTGGGCTTTCACTAGCCCAGGTTGCTCCAACCTGGCCTTGGACACTTTCCAGGGATGGGGCAGCCACAGCTTCTCTGGGAATTCCATCCCAGCCCCTCCCCACCCTGCCAGGGAGGAATTTCTCCCGAATATCCCACCTAACCCTGCCCTCTGGCAGTGGGAAGCCATCCCCCCCTTGTCCTGTCCCTCCACTTCTTCTGGATTACTGAAAATTCCCAAACCCAAGTAACCCCAACCTGCTCCCTGTGTGGAAACACAGCCCTGCCACCCCCCAGCACCTGCAGGAACCTGCAGAGACGTGGGCAGTGCTCTTGCTTCACCAGAGATCAAGGCTTTGGGATGACCCAGGTGGTTTGTACTTCCCATCTTTAGGATTAGGGGCCGATCCAGTGTTGCATCAACCCCCTCTCTCAAATTTCCCTCCTCCAGGTGTGGCTTTTTGGTGGATAAAGTTTCCGAGGAGGGACCAGTTCCTGCCGAGGGGTGGGAGGGCTGTGCCTGAGGAAAGAGCTGCTGGTTTAGTCCCCCTGGCTTTAGATGGGGTCGGTGTCCTCTGCAGGGCTCTGGGATGGGACCACAGCCCACGGATCCGACAGCTCCAGGCAATCCATCTCCATTAGAGCCCAGGCTGATGTCAGCCCAGAGCCACAGCTGACACAGCAGAGGAGACTTTCCCCCTCATTAATCTCCTGGAGATGAGGGAGTGGAAGGTTCCAGGTTTTTCCTGGAGCTCTTGGTGCCAGGTGGAGCCTGCCAGATGTGTGAAAGACCCTCAGTCTGCTGGGCCTGCTCCAGAAGCCACACACACCCCACCCCGGTGCCAGGCTCGGTGTCTGTGGCTTTGACCACCATCCAGGGCTCCTTCTCCTCCCAGCTCAGTCCAGCCTGTGGGAATCAGCCCATGGCCTGAAACAGGAACAGGCTGGGCCGGAGGGATGTGGGATTGGGAACAGCTCCAGTCCCAGGAGACGCTGGGACCGCTGGGTGCTGGCAGGGAAAGCTTCCCCACGGGAAACCTGGGGTGTGGGACAGTTCTGGGAAGGTCCTTGCTTGGACCTGAGGATTGCAGGATGCACTGGACGGTGGTGGCAGCGCTGAGGGTCACTGGGAGGGTTGGACCTGGTCCCTCAGCCTCAGAGTGGGGTGGGAAATGTCCAACCACCTTGGTCTGGTGGTTCCCAGGGAAAACCAGGAGCAGGACTGTGCAGCCAAAGCTTCAGGAACGGAGCAGGAATGGCTGGGGAACATCCTCTCGCTGTCTGGGAACCCCTGAAATAGGAGCAGGAGGCGGTGCTGGGTTGTTTTTATGGCAGAGAAATGGTTTTGGTGGCAGGAGTCAGGGGAAAATACACCACTCTGGGTCCCACAGCTCGAGAGAGGGGAAGATGCTGCTCCTCCTGTGGCCAAATTCGGGGCCTGTTGTGGTGTTACATTGCCCAGTGGCCAAACCTTGGTCACAAAATGGAATATAAATGAGCAAGGCAGACACAAGCAGCAGAGGAGGAACCTGAGGAATGGACATCTCAGCCCCAGGATGCAAATTTGTTGAATTTAGCCCAGAATAGTCCATCTGTCCAGCAGGGGAAAAGTCAAGGTTCTACCTCCCCTCTTCCAGCTGGTGTGGGCTCAGTGGGGGAACCTGCCCCTGGCATCTCTTACCAGCCCAGAAACTGTAGAGAGGGAGAAGGGAGACACTTGGAAATAATCCAGATTTTTGGGGAAGGTGAGGAAGCCTGGGATGAGATGAGGGATCTCACCTGTTTTCTGCTCTGTAAATCTACCCAGAATCAGCTGGGTCAGCTCGTCCTTCCTGCAGGGCAAGGAGGGATTGCCCACGTGCTGCCCATGCCTGGCTCTTGGTCTGGCTGTTTTTAAGAGCCTAAATGGGAGGCTGGGGCTGTCTGGGAGAAAAAGACTGGGACTGGGAAGATGGGAATGCGAGATTTAATCCTGGGAATGAGTCCTGGCCCTACCCGAAGCGTCGATGTGCTCCGGAGGGAGGTGCTGGAGAACCTCACGACGTGGGAGGACGAGGCAGAACGAGGGGCTGGGTTGGGATATGGGGCAGCCAGAAGAGAATGAGCCCTCAGAAGGCCACCAGGGTGCTGTGCTGGCACACTGTGCTGGCACATTGTGATGGTGTCTCCCCCCTCTCCTCAGACCAGCGCATCGGGACGTGTTTCTCGGCGCTCATCGGGGGCCGCTGTGCCGGGGACCTGCCGGGCCAGTACACCAGGATGCAGTGCTGCTGCGACTCGGGGCGCTGCTGGGCCATCGGCCAGACCCCCGAGATGTGCCCTGTGAGGGGCTCTGGTGAGTGCCACACCACAGCTCTGCCGCTGCCCGGGCAGCTCCAGCCTGTGCCAACCCCGGCAGAGCCGTCGGTGCGATGTGGGGAATCCTGGAATCGAGGGGAGGGTTGGGTGGGGTGTTATGGAAGGGTAATATCCATTATTATTGTTTCTTCCTCCCCAGAGGGTGGTTGGGCACTGAACAGGCTCCCCATGGAATGGGTATTTCCCAAGGCTGCCAGAGCTCCAGGAGCATTTGGATGATCCTCTGAGGGATTGTTGGGGTGTCCTGATGATCCCTGGGGGTCCCTTCCCACTCAGGATATTCCAGGATTCTACAGAAATCCTGCTGCATTGTTGCTGTGGATGTTTCTGTGTTTGTAGGGGACAAATGAAGCCCCAACTCCTTAAATAAAGAGGGGCAGGGGGTGGAGAAGAACAAAAGCAAACCCTGGGGAACATGTCCAGAACTCTTGGACAACGCTCTGAGGGACAGGGGGGGGGATTGTTGGGGTGTCCTGGGCAGGGCCAGAGGTTGGACTGGATGATCCTTGTCGTCCCTTCCAACTCAGCATATTCTGTGATTGGAAAAGCCTTCCAGGACCATCAGGTCCAACCGTCCCCCAGCACTGCCGAGGCCACCACTAACCCCTGTCCTCAAGTGTCACCTCCACATGTCTGTTAAATCCCTCCAGGAGTGGGGACTCCACCACTGCCCTGGGCAGCCTGTGCCAATGCCTGCCCACCCTTTCCATGAAGAAATTCCCCCTGACCTCCAACATAAACCTCCCCTGGCACAGCTTGAGGCCGTTTCCTCTCGTCCTGTCGCTTGTTACCTGGGAGAAAATCCCACTCCCCATCCATGGAACACCCAGGGAAGGTCACCTGGGGATGCTGGTTCTCCTGCCTGGGTCTCAGCTGAAGCTGAGCCAGATGAGCCGAGCCAAGGCAGGAATTCATCCCTTTCCTCCCACTCCTTCAGCTCTCCTTGGCTCCCACCATGACTGAACCTTGGGATGAGCCCAGGCAGCGGGAGGCCTGGAGGAGTCCCAGAGGTGTAGATCCATCTCTCTGCATCTGCAGGAGGGCCAGAGATGTAGATACATCGCTCTGCATCTCTTTTTTCACCCCTAACTCCGAGCAGGGCAGAGCAGGACAGAGCTCCCAGTGCCTGGCACCTCCCGTGTGTCCCGTCCTCCCCGGTGGGAAGGGAGCCCGCGGTGCCAACTGTGCCACCCGCCCCAAAAACCTGCTGCCAGACACCCTGGCGAGCTGTGTGTCCTCACCTGCTGCGGGGTGAAGGGTGTTCAAGCCCTCCCCACCCCGTGTACCCCATTCCCACCAGCACCCACCCACTCTGCTCCCCATGGATCCGTCCCCATCCCGGGATTCGGGCCCCTCAGGAGAAGCCCTGAGGCAGCTGTTTTGTTTCAGACGAGTACCGCAGGCTCTGCATCGAGGGACTCCCGGTCGTGCCAGGCTTCCCTGGGAACTTTCCAGGAATCCCTGGATTTGGGCCCAACGGCGTCGGGCCGGGACTCAACGGGCCCGGAGGCATCGGACCAAACGGGGCGAACGGACAAGGCGGGATCCCAGGGCTGCCTGGAATGGGCCCAGGAAGCTCGAGCATTGGTAATTAAACTCCTTTCTCCTCGTGCTGACCCCTCTTTAGGCTGCCTGGCTGGGAGCAGAGCGTGTTCCTGCGTGCTGGAATGCTGCTCCCGGCACACCCGCGTTCTTCGACAGCTCCACGGTGTGTCCCGAGCCTAAAGGGGGGAGTGGTGGGATGTGACAGGAACACTGTGCAGGACACTGAGCCCACAAACACATCAAACAGTGTCTGCTGGCACGGCAGCACGGCCGGGGTCGGCTCCAGGCTGGAATCTCTCCCCAATCACCCAACAGGAACGAAGCCTTTCAAACAATTACCGGACGGGAACAAAGCTTTCACGTCACCACCTCACCCTCTGCCTCCCCAAAACAAAACTGCTCCCCCACCGGCTTGGACCCCCCCTGTGCTGTGCACCCCGATGCAGCTCCTTGCTGAGGGCTGAAGCTTGTGGGGACATGCTGGGTGGCCCCAAAGATTGATCCCCACCTTGTTTTGGAGGGGCTTGGAATTGGTTCCCGTCTGATCCCAGTCAGGTGGGATTGATTCCCATCTGATTTCAGAGGGGCTGGAATGGATTCCCAGCTTATCTCAGAGAGGCTGAGCCCCCCTCATGCCTGGTGGTGTTTTTGTCAAGGCTGAGCCCCCCTCGTGCCTGGTGGTGTTTTTATCTAGACATATCCCAGAGATTTTCCAAGGCCTTTGGCCCTGGGATGAGCTCAGCTGGTCCCAGCAGGGTGCTGATAACACCAGGCTGGTGGCTTTGATCTCTGTGTGGGCCAGTCACTTCAGAGCTGGACTTGATGGTCTTTGTTGGTCCCTTCTAGCTCAGAACAGTGGGGAGGGGGCACAGCAGCCCCTTGTAGACCCTTCTGGGTCTGGGGGTCCTGCTCAGGGCCCGGGAGCATCTCGGGGCTGTCGCGGTTCCGATGTCCCCACCCTGAGCCCTGGGGACAACCGAGGGCTCCGGAACCTTCTCCCTGATGCTGTTTCTGTGCTTCCCAGGAACTGCCACGTTGAACCAGACCATTGACATCTGCAAGCACTTCACCAACCTGTGCCTGAACGGGCGCTGCATCCCCACCCCGTCCAGCTACCGCTGCGAGTGCAACATGGGCTACAAGCAGGACGTGCGTGGGGAGTGCATTGGTGAGTGGCCTCTGCTCCAGACGGGCCCTGGGCCTGCTCCTAAAGCACCTCCAGCTGCTGCCCCAACACCAGGGAGGGTTGGGATGGATCTCAGGGAAAGGTTCTTCCTCCCCAGAGGGTGGTGGGCACTGCCCAGGCTCCCCAGGGCAGTGGGCACGGCCCCAAGGCTGCCAGAGCTCCAGGAGGGTTTGGATGATCCTCTGAGGGATTGTTGGGGTGTCCTGATGATCCCTGGGGGTCCCTTCCCGCTCAGGA